AAACAACACGTTTATCATCATTTTCTTAAAATATCTTTTTCGCAGCTTTAAGTATTTTATACGAACTTTCCCATAGGACTTTAAAAAAGGTAATGAGTATTGCACTGCATTTGTTTCATGGAGTTGCTTAGGCCATTTACACCTTCGGGTATTTAATTTTACGGTAAATGTATACAAATTTTCGACATATTCAAGAAAAGTAGTCCAAATTTCCAAGAATAGGAATAGAGACAATAGAATGGAAAAAAGTAATCCTTGTGGTTTTAGATTTTAATAAATCTTGGGATAAAGAAGAATGGAAAAACTTGCCAATTTAGCCAATCCCTTCTTGCGAGTGTCCACCTTCCGAAAACCGGTTTCGCATTTGAGGGGCTCAGTGACCCACACGCACCTCGGACACCGGACAGGACCCGGTTTGAGCTCGGGTAGCCGGACCGCTTTGATCCTCACGATACCGCGTTACACCTGTTCCCCGCGACCCAAGCTGCTGCCCAATTAAAAGGTGTGCTTGTAATAAGAAATTTCGCGGATGAACGATACTGACCAGAGTATCAGGATAGGGAGGGTATGGGTCATTCGAAACTTAGAGTTCTTAGATCTCAACAGGGCAGTTCTAAGATCTCAGAACGGCAGCTTATCGTTTGATAAGAAAAACACTGGAAAATTGTCGTTGTCATCCTTCTCATTCAACTGTTGAACCAAGACTAAGACCAAGATGGCCGGAAGTGTTTGAAAATAAGGGACCCTCCACAAAACTGTGGAAATTTATGCTGAAAACAAAGTCTAGTACTCGCGCGTCTTCACAATGTTTGCGCTAATAATAAGGGTACACGGACTTAATGTCCACTTTTTTTTACGTTCACAGACTTTTCGTCCACAATTTTTATAATAGCAGCGCAGAACGCGCACTGACGCCTACAAACCTAACGGGATACTTCACGCATTGCGCAACGCGTGAAGTATCCAGTTAGGTTTGTAGGCGCGTATGCGCGTGTCACGCTGGTCGCCTGCCACGCCGCAACGCCTTAAGCAACTATTTCGTGACAGAGGCGTTGCACAGTATCCTACAAGATTGAGGGCGCACGAAATAACTGGTTAAAGAGGACTTTCAATTTTGACTGCATCTGTTACTGAAAAATGTTTACTTTGGCATTGGAGCGTTTCCTAGGCTCCCGCTTTGGTTCTCATCTTATCATATCCGTACAGTGTACACATGAGCATCTGTTTTTATCTGCTCTTACAATTAGAGTCTGTTCTCTTTCATGACTTGATTCATGAATGAAATGTTTTTAAGAATGAAGGAACTCTTCACCTCTTTTAATTTAAAAATCTAAATTTTCGTATATACTCCCATTTTAAAATTCTCTGTAAAGACGTTAATAGCCTGTGACGTTGAACGTCTTAAAATATACTGACTAACTAGCTAGTAGGAGTATGCATTTATTTTTGAGGTGGTTCCTGTCATTTAAATGAGAAGAAAAAAATGTGGACATAACATGTCCACAGTTTGGACAATTTTGGACATATTCATGATCGGACATTAAATCATGTGGACTTAATAAAGACTAGACTTAACGTTTAGTGGACATAAATAGCGGTGGACATTTTAATGGACGAAAGGTAGGTGGACATAAAGTCCTGGAAGCGATAATAAGACTTTTAAAATTATATTTCAAGAACATGGGAAAGTTTGAAAATGGCTGTAAATCACGGTTTCCACGTTTTTTCGGCCGCAACTCTCCAGTTTAACCTTACATCGAAAAAATCATGAGAAACAAAATCACGACCAACTAAAATTGGAACAAATTTTGCCTAGACCATTTTACTGACCAGAGAAGCGTGATTTGGCAGTTTTCCGGCTTTTCCGAAAAATGAGTAGGGATCGAATGTGGTGGGGGATTTAGTATTCAGATTCAGCGACTAAAAATACGCAGAGAGCACTTTTAACCTTTTTCGAACCCTCCTTTGTATTTAGACCACATTTTGAAATTGGGAACTACAATTTCTATCTCATTTTAGAAACAACATATGTGCCATCAGTGTCCGTATGCAGATAGGTGTTTTTATACGGTATATGTGTTATATGTTATATACGGTATTTATGGTATACCGATTGATTGGACTGTGGTAATTTTCCAATTCATTTACCAATTTCTGACTGTTTGGAATCTCAGATTTTCTAACCAAGTTAAGAAAGTTCCACGCTCTGACGATACAGTTCAACAGTGGCGTGGTGTGCTTTGCGATATATCGATTGATCTGCCATTTGTACACATGAAAAAGGATCGATAAACAGGGTGCTTGCAACAAACACCCTAATAATCGATTTTTTACCAGTGCTTCTAGTAGGAAAATATCGGTAATCGATCATTCACAGTTGGCCACTGCAGTCCAAGTGGCTTTTAGCACCGGACAATGATTCCCTACTGGCATCGTTTTCCGCTCATCCGAGATAATCACCCCGAAAGCTCATAATATCAGCTCTAAACGATGGTGGTTCTGGGAACGTTCAACAGTTCGGAACATCCGGGGAGTAGGGTCGGGAGGTGAGACAGATGTGGGAAAGTGTCGTTTAGCCCCTGACTTGTGACCCCATAAAGAAAGGAACCCTCGACCACGGAAAGGACGATTCCCTTGTTCGGGGGTGGCGTCCGTTGGTCATCGTCGACCACCAACACGCCCAGAATCGCGGTCAATTGCTCGTTACATCTGTCATTCGCCACCCGCTCAATGACCTTCGACCTATTAATGACGTATTCGAGTATCAGTGTTCCAGGGCTGTATTCAGTGTCGTCCCTTAAACAGCTCCTCTCCTTCGGGAACACAAAACTGTTTGCTTTGTGATTAAATAAGGATCCTCAACATAGTATCATATGGACTGCACTTTGCAATTTGGAACTATAACTTCCGGCCTGGTTTAAAAACAACATATGTGCCATTAGTTTCCCTATGCATATAAGTGTTTTTTCAAATTAGCCAGAATTTATAGCTCCAAATTGCAGAATGCAGTCTATGTATAGGACGATTTTGGTTAATCTCAAGTAAAATTCAGCATTGCAAGTGGGGTGGCAAAATTTCATTAAATTTCTTTTGAAATATCTTCAGAAATTTCAGAAAATAGTTCAGAATTAGGTGCCAAAGATCGAGATTCCTTCCATCTAAGTGCAGCTTGCATACCTAGCCCCCTGAAAAAAGGCTTTAAATGTTGTGGATTTCATAAGTTTCCCTGGCTCTTGAAATTCCCTCTTTTTCATATCCTTCCAAAATTTATGCCACTTTGTGAGCAACGCAGAAAAATTATTCGGATTCGAGTAGTCACTCTGAGGGCAACTTCGTAACCGCAGAGGATACAAAATACGAAGGGAAGTACATTGCAGGTTTTGTAAATTTTAAGGATTGAGAAGACTCTCCTGTACATAAGTGCTCCACTCTTTCTCCGTTAAAATGTGATCAAATAAGAAAACTACAGAAAAATAGAAGAATGCTCATAATTTACGTACTTCCCGAAAACGGATCAAAAACAATGAGTCAGCAGCCCCATTCACTCAAATTCATAAGGGAATCCAAACTATGTTATTACCTAACGTCTTTAACTCTTACGAAGCAACTGCGGCACTGACCGGAGTTATCCGGCTGCAATGCGCCTCGAAGCAAAAGATATCTGTTTCGTATTACTCTTTCTTTGCTCCTCATGGTCCCGATTGATTTTGGAACGTTTTCAAATCCAGAGTGTTTTCCCGCCCACGCTACGTTCTGTTCCGCTCGGAGCCCGCCCAGCGACCATGTTCTGTTTTACATTTTCCAACCTATTCTCATACTTCTTATCTTCTCGCTTTTAAGATCGCTGCTATTTTCCTTGCATTGTAGAAGATCCACTGAAAAAAAATCTCGGTGTATTTACTAAGAAAAGGGTAAAATTACCAAGAATTCAGGGTTCTATTTGATCCCAGTTTTTTCATGGTAAAATTACCATTTATGGAATTGGTAATTTTACCGAGAAATCTTGGTAAAATTATTGAACTTTCTCGGTAATTTTACTAGACCTTGGTAAAAACGCCAATATTTTTCATCGACTGTGGTAGAATTACCAAGATAAAATGGCAAAGTTACCGGGAATTGATTACCAATAAAAGTGGTATTCTTACCTGAAAAAAACAGTAAAAATGCCGGTTTTTAGGTAAGCTTACCAGTCTTTCTTGGTAAAATTACTAATAATTGGTAGAAAAAGTGAGATGGTAAAGGTAGCAACGGACCTTTATAAAAACGCCGAGAATTTTTTTTCAGTATCGTATTCAAAAGATAGAGGTCCTTCGTAAGGGATATCATGCTGCCATGCTAAGAGTTAACAAAATGTCAGCTATATTTTTTATTTTTGGGTTTTTTAAAACATTAAACGGATTAGATAATTGACCGGAACCGAAAACAGTATTACATGATTTTGTAGGAATGAACATTTTCCAGCCTTATTTCGACGAAAAGACAATGTAAATATTGAAAGGGGGGGGGGCTGTAATGCAGTCTCGCGTAATTCATAAAGTAGGTTCGGGTTTGCAACACGAATGAGTACAGACATGAGCTACATTTTGCAATTCAGAACTACAGTTTCTTGAGCTCCTTCGTAAAAACACATTTGTACTTAGGGGCACTAATGGTATATGCATTGTTTTTTAACTGAACCAAAAATTGCAGTTCCTGATTGCAAACTGTTGTCCAGATAAAGGCAAAACATCGAAAAAACTGCGAAACTTACATAACATCTCTACGACCTTTTCGCAAGCAATTATAGATGGGACGAATAGTTTTTGGCATTACGCGTTGAACTATCAGAGATATTTCGGGGAAATTTAGAAAAAAAAAAATATTACGAATGATGGATCGCGCGGTGAATTCAAGCAAAAACAGCCCATAAATCTTTCAAAAAATAAAAAAAGAGGCACGCTTGGAAATTACCTCGTTTATACAGCTGCTGTATCCAAGTGACGCCAGACTCGCACATTGTTGTAAGCATAAACAGCCATGCACAACGCATGAGTTACCACATTTTTCTCCCGCTTCAAAGTTGGTTAGTGTCAACTAAAACCCTGACTCTTCCTTGATTTTTCGTGTTAGCCTCCTCGTTTTACTCTTACGTGATATATTATTCCATCGAAATGTTTGTGCGCTCTAGAAGACAAAATTTTGAGACGGCTTTCAGTGAAATCGGCAAGGAACCATTCAGCCACGTTACTATCGAACGAAAACCCTTTAGTTGAGAGTGAATCACGTTTATGAATAAAAGCTCCTACCAAACCACGTAGATACAGAACCAATTATCAAGATTTACGAGGATACTTCGCAATATATAATCCGATGTCATATTTGCCCGTCATAGTTTGTACCGATTTCAATAGAAGTCTGTTTTAATCTTTATACAGTGAATTTGCTTTCAGCATCAAATCTTAGTAGAAAGTCACGATGATTCTAACTTTACAGACAGCAATTTTCTTGGTTTATTTGACCGTCCATGCTACAAGCACTGTGAATGTTACATTTTTCGGAGGTAAGAATTTTAAACTACCGAAGTGCGAAGTAGTCCTTTCAGGCTGTAAACCTATTTGCGCTAATTTGGTAGGTAAGGTCATTTCAATAAAGCCATCAGTCAAAAACACTTGCATGAAATTCTATACAACAGCTGACTGCAGTGGAGCACCACCATCCTACCGCGGTTCTATCAATGACCTTGATGGCGATGGAATTACTGATTTAATCGGTACACCGGCTAAGGAATGGAAAGCGATTGGTGATTGCAAACAATCGACCGGGGTAAAATATTTCTTTCTCCTGGCTTTTTTAAATGTCGTAAATCTGATTTCTCTTTTTCTTTTCAAAGAATTACGAGCGAAAAAAGGAGAGATTAAGGTGGACTGATCAAAAAGTTTTTCATCCAAAGAATAAATACAATGCTCTGCAATACGACGTTTTGTGGTAAACGTTAATTCGATGCTAAAAAGCCTTTAATCACCTCAATCTCTAATCAAAATTATTCGGAAAATTTTATCGACACATTTGAAAACTTATTTTGCTAAAAAATTCCAAATTCTGTAATTTTTCCTGTTCCAAGTATATGCATCGATTATCCGAACTAATTTTCAATCTGAGGTCTTTCAAGAAGGTACCCTGAATACCTTTCTCCATTGTCATTTTCTTCAGTCATTCATATTCGTTCATGATCAAGTGAAACCTGTACTTGCATACAGGATTTTCTGTAAAAATTTCAATTAGTGAAATTGATTATTTCTATCTTAAGTAAAAACGCAATATTTTGGTACGAAAATTTGAAACTGCAATAGAGCAACGTATTTTACTTTGGCTCCAGTTTTGAAAAAACCCAGCCTGCCAGCCTGCCTGCACCACAGAATGTTTGGTTTTTCATTTTGCAATTAGGATCTAATATTTCAGGCTCATTTTAAAAACAACGTATATGCTATTAATGTTACTATGCAGACAAATCCTGCCTCTCTTTCTTTTCTTTTTAATATTCGTCTTCTTCTCATCTTTTCTTTTCCTGCACTTCTCCTTCCTCGTTTTTCTCTTTTTTCTCTTCCTTTTTGTTGTCCTCTTTTCCTCTTGCTTCTCTTTCTTATTTCAACTCTTTTTCTTTGTCTTCTTCTTTCTCTCTCTCTTGATATTTTTCCTCTACTCCATCTTCATTTTCGTATTTTTTCTCTTCTTCATTCTATTCTTTTTTTCTTCTTATTCCTCGTTCGTTTTTTACCCTCATTTTATCTTCTTCCTCTTCCTCTCATCCTTCTCTTTTTTCCTTTAATTTCTTATCTTCCTTTTGTACTCTTCTCCTTTGATGTCCTCTCTGCAGAAAGGTGATTTTACGGTTAAAAATAGTAGTTCCTAATTGCGAAATTTAATTTATTTGCTAATGCTATGACACATCCGTTACACATCCTCCTTTTTTGTGTTTGTCTGGCAGATTCCAGATAACTCGGTTGCGTTGTTCCCTCAAAAAAAATTCAAAGGAACGCCCAGCATAGTAACAGTCAAGGGCTGCACACCGGTACCCAATACTTTGGCCGGAAAATCTGAGTCTTTTATCTCCAATACGCAGTGTTGTCATCTCTACGCAACCAAAAATTGCACTGATGATAAGCTTATCCTAGTGCTCCAGAAAACTGATTTCGGAACGGCATATGATGATTATGACAGCTTCAGTGATTGGAAGAGTTTTAGACAAATTTCCGCCATTGGAGATTGCAAACAACCTTGAATGCACTGATAAAATAATTTTTCTTTTAAAAATAAAACAAAAATAGGTGTGAAAAATAAACTGTTTTTAGAACCAATGATTCGTTTTTCGTTACAAGATTTTTCAACCCAGAAATCATCAGTTTAATTCTAATTACCTCAACCGGATTATCCAGTTTCGAAGACAAATCAGAACCTGTGGGTCGGCAAGTTCATTTTTCATCGGTCTTTGGTAAAATTTCCCGAAATTTTTTGTACCGGATTCCTTTAAATATTATATCTTTCAAGCTACGATTTTGCGTCGAACATTTACGCTCACGATTCGAGGTAACATGTATCATCCCTACGTAGTCGAAACATTTCTACAAAGGTCCACATTCTAAATCATTCTCATGACTCAGATTTTAAAAGCTTCTAAAATTCTGGCAACGTCGCTGGCATTTGTCGGGGCACAACGTGCAGTTTCAATCTTGGACCGCGTCGCTCGGTGCTTTATCGCGTGCTCAGGGGGTCCGCCCCCCCAACCCCCTCAGATCCCGCCCTCTTGCATCGGTGGGAGGAGGACACTCAATAATGTAGAGGATAATTATACTTATAAGCATTGTTATCAATTAGTATTGTTGAGTTTGGTTCAAACCTGTGTCAAGTTATATATTTCATCGCTCCAGTATTGGTCGTCGATCTAAGATAGAATGTTGTCATGACTGGGGAGAAAAAAGACATCGATGGCTCCAGGGCAGAAATATTTATCGTAAGATCGCACGCGTCTAATACTCGAGAGAAAGTTTAATTATTTGCGGCCCGGGGAGTTCGTTTTTCAGACATATCGTATCGATGAGATTTCTAGTTGCACAAAAGATACTCTTCGACCTTGTCACCAAAAATTTTTGCGATAGTGCCGAATAGAGTAAATTTACTCAATTTTCTTGAGTTAAACTATTATATTAAAAAATTTATCCTTCGGATTCTGTACTATTATAAGAATTAAAGATCCGCAAGCATGCTCATTTTGTTCTTTCTCATTCCAGAGAGAAATTTTAAAAAAAAGCTACCTGTTAAAAAATAAGTCTCAGTTCAAAAAACAATGAGATTTTAATGTCAATGAGTCTCGAGGCAAAAAATTGCGTCTCGGAATGGAGGTAAAAGCCGACCCAGACTCCTACGCGTTGATTATTCTATCAAAATGCACTACCTCCAATGGAAAACCCTTGACTTTTCAGACTGCATTTATATTATTTAGAGGGATACCACTAATATTTCTCCTAGGAGCTCGTTTTGCCTACATCCTCAATAGAAGGCGAATCGTATTACAGGAATGCACAACATTCCTAGAGCGTTTGTGATCCGCGCGCTTACCTCTTCCCTGCGGCTGGTTTTGAACTTGATAGACATAGCGATCGACAAAATAGAGCTATTGGTGGCATCGGATAGCTTTAATAGAAAAAAGAGGTGAATAATCGACTACCTGATGGCAATACAGAAAAGACCATACAGTAGTCAGTCATTTCCTCTCTCAGTCTATGACAACCACCTGTTTTAAGCAGTCGGATCGTTCCGTTGCCCCTGTGTCTTCTATGTCTATTACTTTGTCTATCAATTCCAAAACTCAGCCCGCTGATACGCCAATGAAAGAGCGGAAAAAATAAAGAAAAGAAAGAAAGAAGGAGGAGAAGAAGCAAGAGGAGATGAAGAAAAAGAAGAAGAAGAAGGAGGAGGAGGAGGAGAAGAAGCAAGAAAGAATGCAAAAAAAGAAGGAGAAGAAGAAATACGAGAAGCAGAGGAAGAAAATGATCGATCAGTGACGACTCTCGCAAGTTGGTAACACTGACCGATGTCCATTAAAATGTACGCAAAACAATCGATCCTTATCGCGTCATGAAGCCTCGACCACAATCGATTGTTTACAATTGACTCAAATGGAGGAAAAACAGTTGTGCCAACGGCGCGGCGCCGCAGGGGGGCTGGAGACGAGCGTCTGGGCTGCGTCTGGGGCCAGAGCAAACAATCCGAGAGGTGCAACCATGATGAAGCAGTTATCCACTCACCATTCAACATTCAACATTCACCATTCAACATTCAACATTCACCATTCAACATTCAACATTCACCATTCAACATTCAACATTCACCATTCAACATTCAACATTCACCATTCACCGTCCGCGACTATTGATTCCGTCCGTCTGGCAGTGCGTCTGCCCCCGAGACCGTCGGGTCATCCGGATCATCCGAAAAATTGATCGATTCTCGTTTATCTTCCACTTTGTTCCCGCCCGTCAGTTCGTTTGTTTACCGCTCCTCGGCGCGGCGGCGCTCCGATCGAATCGCCAGATTTTCTGTCCCGGGATCTTCGTCGATAGCCACGGCTTACAGTGGAACGGATCAATAGTAGAGGTCGGACATTTTCGCAAATTTTGATGTTAATTTCGTCATAAATTTAATTTTCAAAGAGTTTCCAAGGTGATTCTGAGAGAAAATTTCACGAAAAAAGCAATGGAGCCACTTTTAATCCTTCTTGTTTTATATTTTCGAAAAGATGAGCTTTCAAAGTTTCCAAATTTTGTCCGATTTCCTCCATTGACTCGGTTCAGTGTGCGGCTTAGGCCCTTAAAAATGTGGTCGGTTTGGATCCAATGTCTTGTCATTTTTGAGGTATAGGCAATGGTCCAATGGGGTGATTTTGGAAGTGATAGACAAAGCGATGCAAAAAGTAGACAGAGGAAAAACGAAGCGATCCTCTTGGTTGAAACGGGTGGTTGTTGTAGACTAAGAGGGAAAATGAAATGAAAAATCAGAAAAGGAAATGAGCTTTGTTTTCCCAGTGGTAAGCGTGTCAGAGGGCTGACTATTGGAACTGATATAGACAAGGGCAATTGACGAAGAAGATAAGAATCCAACAGGTGATGATCATTGACCAAGAGAACTCGTCTCTTTTGTCTATTGCAGCCACCGATTCTACCAACAGGATGATTCCATTTTGCCTTTGCCTTCTCTGTCTACCATCATAAATTCGAAAATCAACCTGCAGGGAAGAAGGAAGCGCGTGGATTGCAAACGCTTCAGAAATGTAGTGCATTCCTATAATACGATTCGCCTTCTATTGAGGATGTAGGCAAAACGAGCTCCCAGGAGCAATATTAGTGGTATCTCAATAAATGATATGGATGAATTCTGACACGTTAAGGATTCTCCATTGAAGGTCACAGTGCATTTTACGCTATTATTTCGACGCTTAGGAAACAGCGTCGGCCTTTGCCTACTCTTAAAAATGAGGGCTCGACTTTTTGCCTTAAGAAACATGAAAATTAATTTCTTATTGTTTTCTGCGCTGTGATTTAATTTCAATAAGTACCTTTTTCACTGTTTCTCTGAAATGACCTATGCGTGAAGAAAACCGCCGACTTGCAGATTTGTAACATGAAAAATCAAAAGAAGGAAAATGATGAAAAAATAAGCAAGTGAAAAAATGACGAAAAATAAAGAAATGATATGGCAATTTACCGGTGCTATCGAATCTACTTTGCTTTTGACATAGTGAAGGATTAGTGGAAGATTAACATAGTAAAATTTCCAGGCATCTGTTAGTATTTATCATAATTTTGTTGAATACAGTTAGAGTACAGTACGTGCTTCCATAGAGTCTGCTGGTGATCACCATACTCATATCATACCTTTCGTGTATGTTACTTTAAGGCGCTAATGGGCTGATCATTGAAATCGGTAGACAAAGCGAAAGACAGAAAGTCACAAAATAAATAGAGCGAAATGGTAGAGATACTAATGTGGAAAATAATGAACTAACCAGAGAGTTCCTCTTAATTTGCCATCGTTAGTATATTTCGTACCTCATTCGTCCATTGCAACCACCCGCGTCTACCAGAAGGATCGCTACATTTTCCTTCAGTCTTCTTTGTCTTTAGCTTTGAATATCGATTCCAATTATCAGTCAGCAGGTTTTACTTTTGCTCGTTGTGCTCGGCACAGTCCTCGTTCGAAAGCAACAATGATGGTGATGGAGCGACATCAAACAAGTCTGGGATGAATATGCCAGGTGCGTAATTTGCGGGGGGAGGAGGGGGGCTGTGCCCCGGGGCCCCAGGGGCTCGTGGCGGCTCCTTGATGGGAGTGTCGTGTGGATGATGGATGCTCCGCGATTAGAGCCCAATAAACACCGTCATTTGCCGGAGACAACGAGGTGCAACGAGCCGACTGCCATCTCCATCCTGCAATTCAGACTCCGATTGTGTCGCGCTCTGGCAATTAGCCGCCGAAGCAGACTAACGACCGGCTCCACGTCTGACGTCCAGACGCCATCGTGAGTGACGTCAGCCGACGTCTCCTGTGCTCAGAGACAAGAAACCCTCTACTTGTATTTCAGCTATCGTGGAAGCTTTTGCTTTCGGGACATCAACATGAAACTGTTGACTTACCTACATGGTTGATGTTTAACAACATATTGGCAGTTTCGTTTTGCAAACAAGCCAAAACAAGTCGGGACAAACAAGGGGGAGGGGGTGGGGGAGGAAGGCTTTTTTAGTGAAAACAAGCCAATTTTGTTTTTATAATGACATGCCGTATTTTTTGGAATAAATGTTATGGTTCAAGGCTTAGAGATCATCACATGATACCATGATAATAATGCAGATATAGTGAATCAAAAACAAAAGCAAAAGCAAAGAATCATTTTGTCTAAAATTAGGAAAAGAACCAGAATTTCAACTAGAGTAAGATTCTTTAACTATTTGCCTCTGACAAACTAATGACATACTATGTGACATACTGAAAGATTCATCTACTGAGACTAGCCCATTAGTCAACGCCCACACTCACAGAGAAGAGTGTTAAATAAGCTCTGGACTTATCTCATTTGACTTTGTCCAATTTATTAAAGCCTACGAATAAATCGCAAAACTTGATCTGGCTTCGAGGTTGGGATAATGAGGCCCGTCTTTCGATAACTTTCAAGTCTGAATTATGGCTACTTATGATTTTTTCAAGAAACCGTTTGGCTTTCAGTAGACGCCTTCGTGTTGTCCTAACATGCTCTATCAATTAATAGCTCCTGTTACATCAACACACCTGTTGCAAAGTGCCAAAC